TATATATATATATATATATATATATATATATATCCAACCCTTGATCCTACATAGCTGGGAGTGAAATCAGTTCATCACTTCTTGTTCCTAGATGTTAACTCATAATTGATAAACTACCTCACTGTGTTATGCCACCGGTTGCAAACATTTAGTGTTATATTTTTATTGCTTGTTGTGAAACATGTTTATTTAACAAGCACTTTTCACAGCTTTATTTTCATAGCCCTTTAAATTAAGATCACCTCCCAGATGGGATAATTGAAATCAAAGCTAGTTTTGGAAAACAGCTTATGTCATTTGTTGTTTTTATTAGCCCTACTTATAATTTATGCCCATGTTGCTTTAACAATGGAGGAGTAGTCCAATAGAAGATCTGTTATAGGAAGGCATCATAGTCAAGGCATGCAGAAATTGACATTTTCTAAAAGAAAAAAAAAACAATATGTTGTGCCTTTTCAGACATTTCCTCCAGCTTCATAGTCAAGACCATTCACAAAATGCTTCTTTATATGTATGCACATCCATTGTGAGCTCTTCCTAGTATGTTATTATAAAGAAGAAGCATACATCCTGTGGCCCTCAGATTGCATGTGTGTACATCTAAAGCGCAGATTAATGGGACCTTGAGGTTCCCACAACCCACATTGCCTTGTCTCTGATGCATCACTCCCCTGTGTTTGAGAGACTGGCAGAGGATGTAAGTCATTCCATTGCTCAGCGCTCTTTAGAGTAGTATGGCCTAGATCTGATCACTCTCTGATGCTGAAAATGGAAATATACAATTTACTGTATGTGCTTAAATCTGTTCAGGGAACCACTAGAATTTAGTAGCATGCAATGAATAAAGTAAAGCAATCTGTGTGCTTGTGAATGCTTAATGTGGTCCAAATGATCCAAGTGGGATTATGGCTGCAGAGACTCTCTTTTGTCAAATCAATGTTAGATGCAGCGCTTTGGAGGGAATTTTGGATTTTATGGCCAAGATTTATTAGCCAAGTCTGTTAAAGCATAAAAGGAATTTGGCTCTAGCGGTTGTTGTCTCTCTAGATGTACAATTTTCTGATTTATAATACTCAATTCTGCACTAGGCTATATACAATCGATGTTAAAGCAGCATAAGCTGGGCAGTAAATGTAAGAGAGAAGGTGATGTGACGTTTGTAGATGTTTGACAGAGGTTGGACTGTCAGGCATTGTAAATGATGATGTTCAGGCAGAACAATGATTCTTATGTTGGACGTTTTGTAACACCTACTTTGCCATCTTTGGTTATAAACTTTAGTTTTAAGTTCACCACATTGTTATAAGTTCACTATCATCTCTCATGCAAATGTTATTTCAGGTAAAAGAATTGTTGGCAAATACTGCAGAGTGGTACGAGATAGATCATGTATTCTGTGTTTATCCTCACACAGAGTTTGGCTCCAGTCTAACAGCTGTAACCTTAACTGAGAAAAGTGTGTGCGTGTGCTAACACATGCACAGGTTCTGTTTCTACTTGCTTTTGGATGAAGCGACTGTGCATGTGAGAGCAAACCGGGTATGTTCTGACTTTCACACCAGTTCAAATTCCAGCCTGATGACGACATGAAGCGTGGGTACCTTTGTACGTCCTGATTAAGAATCACTACAATACTTGCACACACCATCTAAGGGTACAAGAAATGATTGAGTAGATAGTGATGTGCTTCAGGGTGAAGATGTTTTCTACATGCTTGAAGTTACACACATGACTTTCATGGAAGTTACCCAACCAGCCGTGTGCCCTCAGAGAATACTCTCTTGTGATGGGAACAACACAGGCCTGTAACTGAAAGAAACCATGTGCTGTTTGAAATACCACTAGTTTAACAAATATGTGAAACTATTTTTGGCCTTCTGCTAAACAAAAAAATAAATAAATTTCTTTATTAAAACAAAAATGAAACGCGCTTAATGCAGGCATTCATTTCTTTGTACCTTTAGTTTCATGAAGTATTAAAGGTATAATCTCAAAGCAGTTGGTTTTTACTATATCTTGACAGCTTTATAGTATATGATTCATCATAAAGAACTAATATGTCCCAAATAATAGATTTGAAGTCCATGTTGGTTTCCAAATCCAGTCGTTTATATATTTAGGTTTGAGGTGTCTAATAGCCAGTTAGACGATTAGAGAACAAGTTGCCTCTCAACCTTTAGAGCACATGTAAGAGGTTTCTACCGTATGTTTAACTTATTTTCTGTATGTCGGCCATTGATACACTTGTGTTGGCATTGTTTAAGAATAATATTGTGATGGTGAAATGGAAAATTTGCTTAATTTATCTGCTTGAGGCTGAGGTTAGTTCAAGCTGTGATTTAAAAACCCTATTTATTTTTTTAATTGAAAAAAAAAACTTTAAACTCAACCCTTGCTTATAACCCCAACTCTTCATACATTCTGACTTTATAATTCATTTAGTTTTTTAAAGCCACGCATACACTGTGTGATATTTTTAAGCATTGCACACAGCTACAGCGCAAACTATATGACAAAATCGCTGGGTTTAAAGTGTAAGAACATGCATTTACGATGCATGTTCTCACATTGTGCGGCCCGGCGTTCTGATGCAACCTTATGATGGCTTACAAAATTGAAATTTTTCATGTTTGATTTTCTACCGACTTTATAATTCCTGAACGGGAGGTGGTCGTGAGAGGCCGATCGCCCCTCGTTACGCCCTGTGCACTACACGAAGCACGATCACTCTGAAAGTCTTCCTGATCGAAAACTTCTCGCAGGACTGGAGAATCGACACGAAAAGGGCAAAAAATCGTACAGTGTACCCGCCTTAAGAAAAAATGGAATTGGTTTCTATGCTTGTTTACTTCTACAGACTGGTGTAACAAAATATTGTATACCAGTGGTGCACTGTGATAATTTAATTTGAATTATCTCTAACATCAAGCTTTTACCAGGCTATATAAGCCCAATATTCACAAAGATCTTTCCTTACTTTGTGGCTCCAGTATCCCTGTCCTGCATCTGGATCCGATTCTGACAGTATTTTTATTTCCTGTCCATTCTTCCTGTGTGAAAACGGGCCACAGCTGGATTGCAGGGATGGGGTGAAAAGCTTCAATTGAGGGGTTGAAAGTCTAGACCTCCAGTCACTTTAAACAAGCTTTATCACATTAAATAGTCTCTCACAGTCGACGGCGGAGGCTGGAATAGAGGGCAAAGTTCATCAAAGGATTTCTCAGGCCAAATTGATGAAAGAAGAGTGTCCCATTTTATGTTACAATCTTTCCTTCCAGCCAGTTGTATGT